TTGAGAGGACTGGTGAGTTTTGACTAAGGAAGACAGACAATAGTGTAAGGTAACTACCCTGTTTGGACTCTTGGCTCTCATGTCTCCTGGTGGTACTGCCCATTCACTGAACCCAACTGGAATGCCAAGAGCACAGATCCAGATTAAAAACTATGCAGATTAGCCCCTCTAGTGAACACCAGGGATTTCAATGTAGAGAATAGATAGGAGAGAGATAGAGGCAGAGACAGCTAATTTTGAACACCCTATCCCATAGGGTGTTCCGTGGCTTTGTAAAAGCCATAGCCTGTATTTTCTTTTGTAATTGGTTTCTTTTTCTTAAAATTTCTAACCATGTTGCTTCCTTAGTACATTTATATGAACTACCTGAGCCTCTAACTAATTAGTTATTTTTTTAATATAGATTGGGTGTAATATAGAGAAGTCATTATTCTCTTCTTCATATCACAGTGTGCTTTGCAGTGTGTCTTTAGTTTGTACTACTAAAGGAACACTTAAGACTTCACTTTTCTACATGGTTTGCTTTCTAATTATACTTCTCTAGTAAACTGTTTTACCATTACTTCCTGAATCATTGATTCTAGGGTGCAATAAAATTTCAAGAGAAAATATATGTGTTTTTATATGGAAAGGCAGATTCCCCCTACTCCTCCCCCCACATGGATTGCTGAAGGAATCAATGAGTAAAGGTTTCAAGAATAAGTAGTTGCAGAAAACCAAGTTAATGCTCTACATAAGTCCACATAACCCTCGGGTAAAAGTACTTATGTGTCTCCTTTTGTTGAGTTCTCTATTTTTTATGAATATGCATATCAGAGTGGAAAAACTTCCATCTGCTCTCTTTTAGCTGATTCTATCACATTTTTTAGTTGTGCATCATTATGGAGCTTCAGAGAAAGATGATCATTTACATTACATATGGATATAAAGGAGAGAAGGAGCTGATGAATTGCAAACAAGTATAATTTATATGGACAAAGTGTGCCAGAAGTGCTTTTCACCCCATTTTAGTCTGCACATCAAATGATTCCTGCCCATTTGCTTGGCCTGGAGCCCAAGAACTCAGAGAGGAAACAATCTTGTTAGCTGTAAGCATCAAGATTGCACTTCTGCTCTGTGAGAAAATAACACCCCATCCTCAGGCCTACTAGGGTCCTCAGAGGGTCAAAACAGATCACTGATAACATTAAAGCCATGTTTGAAAATATTCTTTCTTTATTGTTTCTTAATTAATAATATACTGCACACAAATCTCCTGAGATTCTAACTGTGGCTAATTCAAATGTGAGAAGTTTCCATGATGAATATAGAGGAATGAGCATACTGAAAAGCTTGTAGTATATGTTCCTGTTAATCTCTGACTCATTCTCAAATTTGACTTCCCAAAGCAAATCTTTTACCTATGTGTGGCTAAGCTTCACATATATGCATATATCTTCATTTAGTGTACCTTTCTAAGAGCTTCTATAGTATTGATAATTGCCAAAGATCTATTTGTCTTTTTCATTCATTACTGTAGGCATTTGTTTACAATGTGCCTTATTCATGGTTAAAAATTATTATTTCTATCATCTGCCAAGAACAAGGAATCAAATATGTGTCTTTCTAACAGGGGTAAAGAAAGATTTTGTCATAATATACAACTGTCATTCAACTGTCTGAGAAGTTCTTATAAACCAGTTGATCCTCTCTCATTGCTTCTGACCAACACTGTGTCAAGCATTTTCAAACAATTTGTGTCAAGCATTTTCAAATTAGAGCCTGTCTATTCCTATGCAATGCTGACCATGATGTGGCTTTCTTCTTATATTCACACATCAGGAGGTAGAAATAAAATCATAAAAATAACAATGGTAATGGTGTTTATGAGGATCTTACATGCCTTGTGTTCAGTGTGTTGCATAAATCAGGTCATGTAATATACACCATTTTGTGCATTCCAAAAAGAAGATCAGATTTAGGAGAAAATAAATGATATGTCCAAATTCACATAGTTTTCAAAGCAGATGGTTTAACTCTATACCCTACGCTGTGTATGCTTATATAAAATAAGAACTACTTCTCTCATACTTCCATAGCAAAAAGGATGGTTAAAGTTAGAAGTTGGTATGATTTTGTTTGTTGTCTTTTGTTTTGTCTTTTCCATTAATGTTATTTGTTATTTGTCTTTTTCATTAATGTTCATTAATGATGGTTAGTCTCTATACATTTTATCCTCAAGCTTTACATAAATCTAGCGTGACTTCTTACTTTATGAAAGAGTACTTGAAGTCTATATGCTAATTAGTTATGCAATTCTTGTGCAGGACGGGGAAGTACGTGCGGGTGTGGGTTGAGGGAATATCTAAAATTTCTTCACAGAACTTACCCTTGTCACGGAAGTTTCTCAACCAATGTGGCTGTGCTCAGGAAGATGTAGCAGAACCTCAGTATATTTGCCTACCTAGCGTGTTGGGACATTTTCTAACGAATTTCATTCTAACTAACTTCTTTGACAATAGATTGAAAATAGAATGTTAGAAAGTGAACAATACCAAAATACATTGGCATTCCTTAATGAAGAGGTCTGCATGAAATTCAATGAAAACTTTTCAGTGATAAATAGGTAATGGAGATGGGGAAAGGGAGAGGAAGTGAGAGGTCAGTCTGATTAAAGCATTGTTTATGGATGTAAGAAATACCAGGACAGAACTCCTTTGTGCAATTACACACTGGGAAAAAAAAGAGATGAAGAATGACAGGTATGTAAGGCAGGTCCTCTGTAGGGCGTGACTACTACAGGAAAGGGGAAGATGAATACAGAGGGTATCCACCTCTGTGAATACAAAATACTTTACATATGCTTGTGAAAATGGAATAAAGATGCTTGCTGACATTAGCACAGGAAGGGAGATGGAAGGTGATTGAGAGTGACCGAGAAGGTGGTTCTAATCAAGGTACATTGTCTGCCTACGTTGACATGTCACATGAAACTCCTTTATGCCACTAATTGATGCTAGTTTTTTTTTTTAAGTTGAGAACAAAAATATCAAAGACAAGCTCATAATAGGGTACTTTACGATGAAAGCATGTCCATGTGTATATCAGTGATAGAAGAGAGGACAATTTACGAATTATATGATTTTAAAAGTTTTTAAATCATTTATTAGCTTTTTTTTTTACTATCAGCATTATATACAAAATGTAGAATCTACACGTTTTGTAAGTATGTATCAGAAATACTATGACGATGTTATCCATTTAGCTGGAGTAAACTTTCTCTAACCAAGTATAGTCATAAAACAATTGAATTTTAAATATGGAAAATCTGTGGGATTAGATAATCATTGCATCTCAGAAAGGCTTTACAACTGTGTATACCCTGATAGTTACCTCCAACAGGCAGGGCAGGTGTCCTGCTAATTGAGATGATCTGATCTGAAAGCCCATATATGATACAGTCCAGCAGTATGTATAATACATAGGTAAATAAATATTTGATATTGGGAATTTTACCAGGTTTCAATCTAGTCACCAAGATAGCAAGATTATCCTGTACATATTAATACAGTAGCTTTGTCTCCATTCCAAGTCTATTCCTAAAGGCTCAGATTAATGTCAGTCTTCCAGATAAGAGCAGCAAAAGCTTGGGTCTCTCAATCACATCAAATCTTGGAATGGCTTGCCTTTCCTTTTCTCTTTTCTCAGCTTCCCCTACTCAAGAAGCTGTTTCTCTTCTGTTGAGATTCCTTGCCCTGTACTCTCTTGAGTAAAGAACTCTGAGCATCTATCTGTCTGTTAGGTAAAGAGCAGGTAAGGTGGCATGCACTGTCACTGTGCATGCATCCTTTTTGGCACAGGGCTCCCTCATGGGCCTTCTCTTGGCCACTTGAAGTTCCTGGGATCTCTACATCCCTTCCTTCTATGGTCTCTCTTCCTCTTTTTCAGTCTCTTTTACGAGGAATTTAATTTATATATTCTGGAAACACTTTTACATACAATAGTAAGCAAAATGTAAGGTCAGGGAAAACTTTGAAACAAGGAAGTAGTTGATTATATTTGTGAATCAAACATTTTTTCTGAAGACTATTTGGAGGATGCATTAAAAGCTAGAAGGACAGACTGGAAACAGTGGTGGTCTATTTTCCCAGTACTTCCAAGAAAGAGAGAACCAGCTGGAAAGATATAGCAAACTTCCACATATATACTTAAGAGACTATGAGATTCCATGGAAATGGATGGTAAGTCACAAGTATGAAAGCATTTCTAGATAGACAGGATCTATAGGACTTGATTACATATTGTATTTGCACATGGATGGCACATGTAGAATAGAAGAATGATCTGCTACAAATAAATAGTAGTGGTTTTTGTAAAAAGAAGTTAGGAATGAAAAACAATAGATAAAACTACAGAGAAAATGAAGGGCTTGTGTTTGTCAATATTGCTATCTCTTCAGGAAATTGGAAAACACAGATTGATTTAGGAGAGCAGCAGAGTCTAAAAGAACCATTAGTAATTTGAGAATCATTATTGAGTATTGATCATACAACCATTGTCCAATAGGTTTTCTTTAAAGGTCTAAGACTAAAAAAACTAGCTTAGAATGTACAATATACATATTTCTTTTTATTATTAACATTTGGGTCAAAATTTATTTACACTTAAATAAAGAATATCTCTGCAGTTATTGAAATTCGTTTTACTAGATTAAGAGTGATCAAATATTGTTATTGGTGCTTTTTTTGTGGGGGAGGGTTGGCTGTAGGGCTTGAACTCTGGGCCTGAGCACTGTCCCTGAGCCTCTGTGTACTCAAGGCTATCATTGTACAATTTGAGCCACAGTGCCACTTCTGGTTTATGAGTGTTTAATTGGAGATATGAGTCTCACAGGAACTTTTTCTGCCCTGCCTGGCTTTGAACCGTGATCTTCAGATCTCAGCCTCCTGAGTAACTAGAATTATAGGCGTGAGCCACCAGTGCCTGGCTATCAGCACTTTTATAACAAATAATGGAATTAGTAAAGAGATCAACACAAAATTTACTAATACTCCAAGTCAAGGATACAAAGTTCCCAATATCAATACAATTTCCCAACAAAACAAAAATGAGTATACATATTACTTGTACAAATCAGTTCAACCAAAAGACCTTCCATTAATATTAACTTACTAATACACACATGTTCAAAACTGGTTTGTGTAAAAGAAAATTTTCATATTTTCATGTTTGTAATAGAAAGTGTGTGTAATACATATCAGAGCCTTACATTGTAATATTTTCTAATCTATGCAAATTACATAGCATTTAATAAATGTACATTTTACTTACAACTCCTGTGAATGTTAGAGGTATGCACTTGTATGTACAGCATTCAGATTAAAATATTCTAATTTGGTTTGTATTTACAAAATATTCTCTTCTTTTCTGCCTTGTAGATCAAGGAGAGCTATAAAGGAATGTATCAATAGAACATATAGTTGAGGAAGATATTCAATCACTTGATTCTGTGAGAGTAATCTTCTCTATCATGTCAGGCAAACTTTCAGATTCCAGGTCTTCTTTGCCATTATCTGAATTTCCTGATGACATATAACAACCAGAGTCTCTTGGACAGTCATCTAACTGTGACTTACTTGAGGAAATGTCTGGGCTTATGCATAAAGACACAGATTCATTTACTTGTTCTTCAATGACTGTGAATGGAAGAAAGAGGAAGTGTTAATGAAAGCCAGTTTTATTCATCTGTTATTCTCTTTCATGTATTATCCTATTTTAAATGTTCCAATCTTCAGTTGACTACAGTTGAAGTTTCAGTGAATAAAAGATACATTTATTTGTTATAAAAGATACACACACATATGAATTTTCAAATCACTGTTTTTTTAGAACACAAATTGTGCCTTTATTGTTTAATTGCAGTTTCCTGAAATTCATGTGCACAACCTACAAAAGCAAAGGTCAATGTGGACTCTTCTTTTTCATTGGTAATAAGTTGTATCCACAGTAAAACTGGTGCCTTATACATTTAAATATTCTTTAAAGTATCATCTAAAATAAGTCATATGTCTTTTAAAATACAATCCAAATTTATAGCAATCTTTGTGAACAAGTCCCTAATCATGATAATGTGAATCCATAAGCAAACGATCACTAGAATAGATAGATATTCTATTATTCTATCACCTAGATAAAATACAATTTCAAGTGCATAGGCTATAACAAAACTTAAAAAATGTCCAGAATTTTTCTATGCCAACCTTCATCAGAAAAAGACAATTGTTTATGTTTACATTGATTCATTTCAATATTCTTCTATTTTCAGCAGACATTATCTTTTAGATTAATGTTGAAACTCTAAAAGATATTTTAAAAGACTCTATGCAACATTATATTAGTCATCACAGGATTCTGTTAATATCATCATAAAGGTTCTTTGCCCTTCCAGATGGGTAGTTCCCTGTATCATGAACTGAGTTCTTCAGAGAAGAAATGGATATCTAACTACCACTTCTTAGCTACATTTAGCACATCCTCCTCTTTCACTTTATCAGCTGGGGGTTTCTTCACTTTTACCCTTTGAATAGCCTCACATCGGGAGAATTACACATATATGTAAGGCTTGAACAAGAACTTGATTACATTCTGCTGTATTTACTCAACTCCAGTGAGAAGAGAATAAACCCAAATTTTCAAGAACTGAAACAAGGAGGCTGTATAATCAATCATTTTCAATAGACTAACACACAGCAAATTAATTTTTTTTAGGAAGCCCACCTTCTACCAAATTTACACATCTCTTGCATACAACCATTAAAATGCATTTCCCCTAGGTTCCAGATCCTTGGCCAATTATTTGTTTATGGCCTACTATGAATCTAATTGTTACTAACCTCTGTCACCCATGAAACCTGAGCCATGCTGACCTCAGTTACTCTTGCATAGTGAATTAGCTTGTATTTAATATACCAAAATGGTAAGTAGTTTTACGCCATCCATGGAAGAAATGAGAAAAAAACATTGCTTAAACTCCTTTACTGATTCTCTTGTTACATGAAGATGACTGATTGAGAAAGGCTAAATGAAAATGATTAAAAAAACTACTCCTTCGTCTTTTTCAAAACAAATAAAAAGTTCTTTGAACTTTTTTTTAAGGCACCTGTGAAAAACTACATCTGTGACCCTCTCTTGAATCTGAACATTTGGCACAACTTTCTTCAGCTATAGGATTGCATATCAAGTATTTATTTGGTTTTCTACTTGGTTTTACTTGGTTTTCAACACTTGTTTATGAAATGAGACTTTGTTTTATAAAGAATTGCTTTTTTGGGTTCTGCTTTTCTTTTTTTTTTCTTTTAAGTTAATATAATTTTCTGAACTTCAAAAGGTTGCATATGAGGATTACAGTTTAACATGACCATCTAAGGATCTAGTGCTTTTAGTTTCTGCTTTTCTATCTTATTGCTTCTGAAGTGAAATGAGCAGTTTCTACTACATTATCCAACTGTCTCTGGAAAAGGCTAGAGGAATTAGTCCTTTGTTATGCATCCTAGCACATTAACTCTGATCACTCTGAAATGTGGCCCTCTTGGAACACCGCAGTGATGGAGATAAGGCCACAACTCCTTCCACTGTAAAGAGTCAAGCTACTTCCCTACAAATTAGTACCTTTTGCTATAATAAGAGCTGTTAGCTCTCATTACTCTAAGTTTATTACCAATTGTAGGCTCCCTTGAAGATAGAGGTCTTGGCTTTAAACAAAACAAAACAAAACAAAAAAACCCCTCTGATTTATAAAATTGTTTTTCTTTCCCAAAAGAAATATTTAGATTATCATTTCATCTTAAGAAGCCTCTACAACTTCAACTCAAATTGTAACAAAAAACGTAAGTGAAAAACATTTTACCCACGTCATAGTTTAATAGTAGTAATGAAAATATTTGTGTTTATTTCCACCCAAGAAATGCCATATCACATTCTTTAAGTTGTAGGAATTGATGTGTTTTAAATACAGATTATTTACCAAAGAACTCTTTCATCTACAATTTTTTATAGAAAAAAGGAAACAGTTTCTCAGTATGAAAGTTATGTAGCACAGTAATTTACAGAACAGCAGTAATTTGCTAAATGATTTCCTAGTGCAATGAAAACATGACTATGCCTTCTCGAATGCTTCCCACCAGGCTTGCAATAATTTCAGGCAGGTGATCGGCTGGAGCCCCTCAACTGTAACTATAAAAAGAAAAGGCAGGTCATTATGTTTTATTATGGAGATGAAAGCTATATGGTATCCAGTCTTTGTATTCAGAGAGTTAAGATTTTCCTCTTCTTGTTTCTTTTCATCCTGACAGTAATGATAGGGATTAGCACAAAGGTAGGTCTTCTGTTAGAGAAGATTTTTTTTTAACCTTTTCCTCAGAGAAGATGAATTCATACTAATGCATTCACATTTTCTTTCTAAGTCATTTAGTCCCTCCATGTGGCCATGAAGCACAGTAATGCTAACTGGCCTACCCAGAAATTGAAAACACAACCTTCATCAGTTTTGTTCTATGGTTCAAGCATCTGAGCTAACCACGCAAGTAACACATAGGAATAAGAAAGAGTTTGCCTCCAAAATTGCAGACTTCTCATTGATATCTGAGTGCATCTTTTAATACTAAAGTATTTCTGATAATATCTTAAGTTTAAAAAAAAGCACACATTTTATCATTAAAATTGTATGCAGACAAGTATATACATATTTATATAAACTTTTCTGTATTTTTCATTTAAAGCTGTACAATGCTTTATATTTTAATTTCCAAATAATAAAAAATAAAATGGCTTTAAAAATGCAGCCATCAATAGTTTGTGAATATCCTAAAGACTACATAGTTTCATTCTGAATATGCTAAAGAATTATAATCACTGACATGTCTTCTGTTAATACAGTTTAATTACAAGCACAATATGAACTCCAGAAACCAGCATTTTTCTGCACTGTATGTAATGAAAATAAAATTAATAGGTTAAGAAAGAATTGTTTAGCAAATATTTTATTACCAATAATGAATTTGAATGTTAAAATATTTTATTTCCTACAAAAACAGTAAATTAAAGCTTATGGACCAAAATCAAGGATTTTAAGATAGTCATCAATGTTGGGGGAAAAAATGTGGCATGGTGATTAAAACAGAAGACAGCTAATATAATTATTCACAAAATAATTATATTGGAGTTGTGACATTTAATTAATTGTGGGCAATCTCAATTATACTAAAAGTGAAGAAATATTTAAGGAAATAGAACTAGCTCTTCATTCTGGGAAAATGTTCTCAATACTCTAAGGAGAGAAATATTCCCTATATTCACCTATTAGAAAATTGTCCCAGGTTTCTTTACTCAAATCTTCAGAATATGTCTTTGCTAATCCTCTCTTACAGATATTATAAAATAACACAACTTCGAAGGTATAGTAAAATGAGCTTAGCCAAAGAAAGTGATAAATAATATATTTTAATAAAAGTGATGTTTAGACTGAGGATATAAGAACTAAAGATCAAAAAGAAATTGTTTAAAATTCAATTAAAGTTGTTTTATAAGCAGTCCTCTTCTTTTTCTATTCTGGCACTATGCTCAAAAGAAAAAAATCAAAGATAGACACTTTAGTATGTTACAATGCTCACTCTCATGTTTTGTGTCCATTTAAGTCACTCAAAAAAAAAAGAAATGAGGGGCTGGGAAGGTGGCTCAGTGGTAGAGTGCTTGCCTTGCATGCATGAGGCCCTGGGCTCGATTCCTCAGCACCACATAAGCAAAAAGAAAAAAGCCAGAAGTGGTGCTGTGGCTCAAATGGTAGAGCACTAGCCTTGAGCTAAAGAGCTGAAGGACAGCGCCCAGGCCCAGAGTTCAGGCCCCACAACCGGACCCCTTCTTCCCCCTGCCCAAAAGAAAGAAAGAAATGATGTAGTACACGCTTCTATGGCTAGATTTTTGTGCAGAAACAGCGTTTTATTTTCTTTCATGGAGGGAAATTTAGTAAAAACATACAACAGAGCTCTCAGCTACATTTAATTTCATCTTAAACATGTCCTTAAATCTCTTAGGACTATAGTTTTCTAACTAAACTGCATGTATGATGCTTATTTTACTTTATTACTAACCTCTTTTCTTGAAAATAACGCAAAATAAGAAACAAGAATCCACTATGGAGGCCAAGAGGGAATATGGAGTTGAAATCACTCTTCCTCTATTTACTCTCTTTGTGGCCCAGTGTCATAACTGATCCTGTGGTGAGTTGTGTACTGTGGAGGAAATCTCTCTTTTTTTTTTTTTTTTGTCGGTCGTGGGGCTTGAACTCGGGGCCTGGGCACTGTCCCTCAGCTCTTCAGCTCAAGGCGAGCGCTCTACCATTTGAGCTACAGTGCCACTTCCATGTGGAGGAAATCTCATTCACACACCTGGTGACCTTTACTTACACTGCACTGACAGGTCAATGGGGGCAGAGACATTCTCCCTGGAGATCAGTCTCCCTGGAGATTACAATCACTGAGCCATATGTGGAAAACAGGTTGGGTAAGTGCCCTGTCTGGCTACAAACTCCAGTGGAGGGCTTTGGACTCAGAAAATTTCTGCCCTTAATTGTCATTTTTAACTATTTTGATGATGAACAAATGAGATTTAAAACTGCCATTGTGTACTATTGAATTAGAAG